GATACAGAACCCCTGTCCTCTGTCTGGACAGTGCTAATTGGCCCTGTGCTGATCACATGCACTCTCCCAAGAAAAAAAAAAAAACCTATCTAGCAGTATCCATCAAACTGAGCATGTGCAGCTTGCCCCCAAGGCTCTGTTCCCTAGAAGAAGGTGAGGTTCAGAAGAGACAGGATCTATCAGTGTCCAGCTGAGCACTGGTTAAAGTTTGTAGGAGGCGTTTTCTATATGCTTTAGGAGGATGCAGATCCCCTGACCTCTGTCTGACTAGTGCGAATTGGCCCTGTGCTGATCACATGCACCTTCCCAAAAAAAAAAAAAAAAATCTAGCAATACTCACCAAACTGATCATGAGCAAAATGCCTACAGTTCAGTCTGTCTTATTGGGAGATAAGAAGTAGTCACTTAAAAAAAAGGAACGGAGAAGACAGGATCAAACAGCCTTTTTACACAATGCAGAGGGTTAACCCCTTCGGTCCCACAGTGAGTATAACAAGCACGCTTTCCTGCATCTACAGACTGATTGGACTGTTGTGGGTTTAGTAACACTTTAAGGTATTGCAGAAGCCTATTCTGCATTTTGGCCTTTAGATGGCGCTGATGACGCTGGGATTAATCTAGTAGAAGAATATGGGGAAGTTTTGTTCAGCTTGTTTCTGACATCCGCGCAGCAAATGTTCTCAAACTTGGCCCCCCGATTTTTCTGTATCAATGAATGTTTTCTCTTTTATTCCAGAGATAGAGAATTCGGCAGAGAGGGTTCACCACATCCGACAGATCCTCATCACTTTACCCCGGGCCGTCCTGGTGGTCATGAGATATCTATTCGCTTTCCTCAACCAGTAAGCTTTGAAGTTTAATTGGCCTTCTCTGGTTCCTTCCTCATCAATGTTTTAAATAAAACCTTACACATTCATTGCATACTTTACTTTAGACCTAGTGATGTCATCACTGGGCCCCTGTGCTTTTCTATGCAGTGCAGGCAGATCACGGTTGGTGGGAGGGGCTGCCCATAGCTTCCTGAAAAAACATCACAGAGCTCCCCCCAAGAGCCCTTGGTCTTGATGCAAGCAATGGGCTGGCTCTTGGGAGGAGTTATGCAAATATAAAAATGCTTTGATGGGTGGGCTTTCCTAGGAGGGCTGTATTTGCATGCAAGCCAGCCACATGTGATGCTGAGCCTGAATGATTGACAGAACTGAAATCCTATGAAAGGGACGGGGCCAGGAACAGTCGGGCTGGTGAGGAAAGAGCTAGTTGATGATGGACATCCTCCAGCCAGGAAATGAGGCGGAGCTCTATCTGACTCGCTGCAGCTTCTAATGCACATTGTGAGCAGCTCACAGTGTGCGGTGACATTTCAGCTTTTTTCCATAATCATCACTTGAGCCTTGTTGGGCTGAATGAGCCTCCCCCAGGGATGTATGTTGGGGGATTATTGTGCGTCTGTCCAGGAGAAGATCATTATTTCAGTTATTTTGCCTTTTTTATATAGGATCCTGAAACTAAATATAAAATATAAATCTGGGGAAAACATACCGGCCCCCTAACCACTTCCCGTCCAGCCGCTGTATATAAACGGCCAGATGGCGGCAGTGCAGGGGCGGGTTGCCCTTCATAAACGGCGCCTGCCATTTTGGATTGTGCGCGCTCCCTGGGAGCGCTCGGCACCGCGATCCAGTACCCGCTGTGTCCTCCGGACACATTGGAACACCGATCGCTGTTCGGGACCTCTGTGTGAGGTCCCGATCATGTGATCACTGATTGGCCAATAGTAGTAAGCAAGATGTCACTTCTGACATCATTTCTTACTACGTGTGAAATGTGTGAATGATCACAGAGATCACATGGTACAGGGCCGATCACATGGTACAGGGCCATTCACAACAGCCTTGTACCATGTGACAAGCTGTGACCAATCACAGCTCACACAGTATTTCTCAGTGGCTGCAGGAATGCAGCCAGAGAGAAGGAGAAATGATTGGTTATATAGCCTTTATGGATGTAAAAGCAATCAGTGTAAAAAAAAAAAAATCTTCATCACCCCCCACAAGTAGTACAGTGTCACCATGGTGACACTGTACTGCTAGGGTGACCGTATGTAAAAAAAACACACATAAATAATAATATAAAAAAATAAAATAAAAATGTAAACAAAAATTTGTAAAAAAATTATAATTTTTGGTTATAAACTAATTTGGGTTATTTTTTTTTTACTAAAAAGATAACTGAATACATTTTGGCCGAGATTTATGAAGAAAGATTATTTGCAAAACTGTATTAGAAAAACACTTTTTTTCAAAATTTTTGGACTTTTTCATTTATATAGCAAAAAAAAAATAAAAATCCCAGGAGTGAATAAATACCACCAAAATAAAGCTTTATCTGTCTAAAAAAAATGCAAAAAAAAATTCATATGGGTACAGTGTTGCATGACTGCGCAATTGTCATTCAAAGTGTGACAGCGCTGAAAGCTGAAAATTGACTTGGGGGCAGGAAAGGGGGGAAAGTGTCCGGACTGGAAGGGGGTGAAAGTGTCCGGACTGGAAGGGGGGGGAAAGTGTCCGGACTGGAAGGGGGGGGAAAGTGTCCGGACTGGAAGGGGGGGGGAAAGTGTCCGGACTGGAAGGGGGGGGAAAGTGTCCGGACTGGAAGGGGTGGGAAAGTGTCCGGACTGGAAGGGGTGGGAAAGTGTCCGGACTGGAAGGGGTGGGAAAGTGTCCGGACTGGAAGGGGGGGGAAAGTGTCCGGACTGGAAGGGGGTGAAAGTGTCCAGACTGGAAGGGGGTGAAAGTGTCCGGACTGGAAGGGGGGGGAAAGTGTCCGGACTGGAAGGGGGGGAAAGTGTCCGGACTGGAAGGGGGTGAAAGTGTCCGGACTGGAAGGGGGGGGAAAGTGTCCGGACTGGAAGGGGGGGGAAAGTGTCCGGACTGGAAGGGGGGGAAAGTGTCCGGACTGGAAGGGGTGAATGTGCCCGGACTGGAAGGGGGGGAAAGTGTCCGGACTGGAAGGGGGTGAATGTGCCCGGACTGGAAGGGGGGGAAAGTGTCCGGACTGGAAGGGGGGGAAAGTGTCCGGACTGGAAGGGGGTGAAAGTGTCCGGACTGGAAGGGGGTGAAAGTGTCCGGACTGGAAGGGGGTGAAAGTGTCCGGACTGGAAGGGGGGTGAAAGTGTCCGGACTGGAAGGGGGTGAAAGTGTCCGGACTGGAAGGGGGGGAAAGTGTCCGGACTGGAAGGGGTTAAATGGCGATGCTGATATTCTACACGTATTATACATTATAATTAGGACGCATTAATGGATTGAGGTCGCTGTAAGCCTCCCACGTAGGATGAATAATGTATGTATTTAGGAGCTGTTAATAATTTATTCTGTATGATTATGTGTGTTGGTATTTGTTATGGGATGCTAGCAAGCGCCCATTGAAGGACTGTTATTGATCAGTTTAGTCTGCCATCTAGTGGCGGCAATGTATAGCACGTTCGATCAAATGCTTCTTCCCAGGGTGATTCCTTATAGCCTTTGAGGAACGTCAGGTTCCAGTCCATCTTGCCAGGCTGGGACGTATTAGTTACTGAAGGCATCCTTGCTGTGCAGCACTGAGTTAGATATAGATTTAGAGAGAACCTGTCACAAATGGCCATCTGTAATCAGGGCTTTTTTTCAGCAGGAACGCGGGGGAACGTAGTTCCGGCACCTCCAGCACTGAATGTATGTAATGGCAAGTGGTGCTGGGGTGTGCTGGAGGATCTATCATACTGTTGCTGGCTGCTGGAGGATCTATTGACACTGAAGGGGATCTATTTTTGTGTGATCTATTGTTGCTGGTGGGGGATATGTTGTTGATGGGTGTCAATTGTTGCTGGAAGGGATCTACTATTGAGGGAGGGTGTCTATTGGCTATTGTTGCTGAAACATCTGTTGTTGCTGGTTGCTGGGAGATCTGTTGTAGCTGCTGGGGGGGGTCTATTGTTATTGGAATGCTATTTTGTTTTGGGGGTCTATTGTTGCTGGAGGAATCTATTGTTGCTGGGGGGTCTATTAGCTGCTGGCTGCGGGAGATCTATTTTTCTGCTTTTCTTCTTATTAACAAATTCCATACAAAATATTTAGCACCACAAAAATTATACTTGGCTCTGTATTCTCTAAAAGGAGAGGTATTGGGTGGTGGGTAGGGGGTGGAACCAAGTGACGGTGCTCAAGGTGGGTATGGGGTGAAACCAAATGAGGTACTCAGAGGTAGGTAGGGGGTGGAACCAAGTGACGGTGCTCAGAGGTGGGTGGGGGATGGAACCAAGTGATGGTGCTCAGAGGTGGGTCGTGGGTGGAACCAAGTGACGGTGCTCAGAGGTGGGTATGGGGTGGAACCAAGTGATGGTGCTCAGAGGTGGGTAGTGGGTGGAACCAAGTGATGGTGTTTAGAGGTGGGTATGGGGTGGAACCAAGTGACGGTACTTGGAGGTGGGTAGGGGATGGAACCAAGTGATGGTGCTCAGAGGTGGGTAGTGGGTGGAACCAAGTGACGGTGCTCAGAGGTGGGTATGGGGTGGAACCAAATGATGGTGCTCAGAGGTGGGTAGTGGGTGGAACCAAGTGATGGTGTTTAGAGGTGGGTATGGGGTGGAACCAAGTGACGGTACTTGGAGGTGGGTAGGGGATGGAACCAAGTGATGGTGCTCAGAGGTGGGTAGGGGGTGGAACCAAGTGACAGTGCTCAGAGGTGGGTAAGGAGCAGAGACAAGAAGTGACTCAGAAGGAGGGAGTTCCTGCACCTATTTTTTGACCAAAAAAAAGCTCTGTAATAATCTGAATCTCTGCCACCACAAAGGACCAAATAAATCACAGCTGCTACATTTTTGCTAGCACAGTGCAAGGCATGGTAGTACATTACCAGACTTTTCAAGTCACTGCAGCTCACAACAAATGGCACTGCAGTGCATCAACGCAAGTAACTTCTGCAATTCTGTTTGAAAAAGATTAAAAAATGTCACATTACAAAAAGAGCTCAAAAGTCAGGAATACACAAGCTTTTATTCCCCCAGTAGCCAAGAGAGAGTGTCCGTTATCAACCCTGAGCTTAAGCAGTAGACTGGGATGACATGTCTGCACTGACAGGGATAGAATACAAGTGAACATCAGCACACACATACCTGAGAGGTAAGGCAGTAGACAGGGATGACATGTCTGCTCTGACAGGGAGAGAATACAAGTGAATATCAGCACACACAGCAATCCCTGAGAGGTAAGGCAGTAGACAGGGATGACATGTCTGCTCTGACAGGGAAAGAATGCAAGTGAATATCCGCACACACAGCAATCCCTGAGAGGTAAGACAGTAGACAGGGATGACATGTCTGCACTGGCAGGGATAGAATACAAGTGAATATCAGCACACACAGCAATCCCTGAGAGGTAAGGCAGGAGACAGGGATGACATGTCTGCACTGACTGGGAGAGAATACAAGTGAATATCAGCACACACAGCAATCCCTGAGAGGTAAGGCAGCAGACAGGGATGACATGTCTGCACTGACAGGGATAGAATACAAGTGAATATCAGCACACACAGCAATCCCTGAGAGGTAAGGCAGTAGACAGGAATGACATGTCTGCACTGGCAGGGATAGAATACAAGTGAATATCAGCACACACAGCAATCCCTGAGAGGTAAGGCAGGAGACAGGGATGACATGTCTGCACTGACTGGGAGAGTATACAAGTGAATATCAGCACACACAGCAATCCCTGAGAGGTAAGGCAGGAGACAGGGATGACATGTCTGCACTGGCAGGGATAGAATACAAGTGAATATCAGCACACACAGCAATCCCTGAGAGGTAAGGCAGGAGACTTCATGGTAATACCTATTGTTGATGGCCCAGTAGGATGATGCTCTGTGTTCTGTTCCAGCTTGTCCCAGTATAGTGATGAGAATATGATGGACCCGTACAATCTGGCCATCTGCTTCGGACCAACGCTGATGCCCATTCCAGATGGACAAGACCCTGTGTCCTGCCAAGCACACGTCAACGAGGTCATCAAAAGCATCATCGTCAACCACGAGTCCATCTTCCCCAGCCACCGGGAACTGGAGGGGCCCGTCTACGAGAAGTGCATGACGGTGGACGTGGAGTACTGGTACAAACTGACCCTGGGGCTGTATTGGGCCGTGAACTGCGGCCATCCAGGATGACAAAATAATCTTCCTTCAATTGGCTACAATTTCAGTGTTAAAATTTGCCCTTGAAAGCTGCTTCATCGTCTTCCTTGTTTCTGAACAATCACATATTTTACTGGGTTTCCTATTAAAAGGGAATGGGGCAACTAGAAATGGGGAGGGGGTGGGGATCCCTATTTCATAAGCAGGGTTTGCATTCTAGTGAGAGGTCCCCTTTAAATCTTTGTCAAATGATTGATTACATTTTATTTCCTTTACAGTGACAGCCCGCACAGTGAGCCAGGCGCCATTGAAGAAGGGGACCATGATAACGGTACTGAGCCTCACACAAGTGACGAAGGTGAGTGGGCGCACTGAGCCAACTGATCAGATATGGGGTCTGAATAGCCACTCCTCCAACTATGTAATGGGGGTTATTGAATATATGGAATAATATATGTATTTTCTCACCTTGCCAGCTTCAGTATAAATATAATGATGGGGCACTATTCCTCCCACTGATACCAATGATGGGGAACTATTCCTCCCACTGACACCAATGATGGGGCACTATTCCTCTCATTGACACCAATGATGGGGCACTATTTCCTCTCATTGACACCAATGATGGGGCACTATTCCTCTCATTGACACCAATGATGGGGCACTATTCCTCTCATTGACACCAATGATGGGGCACTATTCCTCCCACTGACACCAATGATGGGGCACTATTCCTCCCACCATTGACACCAATAATGGGGCACTATTCCTCTCATTGACACCAATGATGGGGCACTATTCCTCCCACCGACACCAATGATGGGGCACAATTCCTCTCATTGACACCAATGATGGAGCACTATTCCTCTCATTGACACCAATGATGGGGCACTCTTCCTCTCATTGACACCAATGATGGGGCACTGTTTCTCTCTTTGACACCAATGATGGTGCACTGTTTCTCTCATTGACACCAGTGATGGGGCACTGTTCCTCTCGTTGACACCAGTGATGGGGCACTGTTCCTCTCGTTGACACCAATGATGGGGCACTGTTCCTCTCATTGACACCAAGTGATGGGGCACTGTTCCTTTCATTGACACCAATGATGGGGCACTGTTCCTCTCATTGACACCAATGATGGGTCACTGTTTCTCTCATTGACACCAATGATGGGGCACTATTCCTCCCACTGACACCAATGATGGGGCACTATTCCTCCCATTGACACCATGATGGGGCACTGTTCCTTTCATTGACACCAATGATGGGGCACTATTCCTGTTCCTTTCATTGACACCAATGATGGGGCACTATTCCTCCCACTGACACCAATGATGGGATACTATTCCTCCCACTGTTCTCTCATTGACACCAATGATGGGGCTCACTATTTCTCTTCATTGACACCAATGATGGGGCACTGTTCCTCTCATTAACACCAATGATGGGGCACTGTTCCTCTCATTGACACCAATGATGGGGCACTGTTCCTCTCATTGACACCAATGATGGGGCACTGTTCCTCTCATTGACACCAATGATGGGGCACTGTTCCTCTCATTGACACCAATGATGCGGCACTGTTCCTCTCATTGACACCAATGATGGGGCACTATTCATAATGTACAAGTGGAGATTTAGGAGGCGCACAATTGTAGCGCATTTGGTAAACGGTTGCTCTGATATTGTGTGACATAGAAAGTTGAAACCACCGCCATTTTATTCTCAGAGAGAAGGGCGTTGACCTCTCACCAGAAGGGGGAGATCCTCTGCAGCGCCACATATTATGATGAAATAGACCAGTGGTTCTCGATTTTTTTTTGAGACCGGGGCCAATCAGATTCTTCCAAAAGTTCCTTCCTTCCAGTTTCTACGCAAACAGTAAAAATATGAAAAAGCATGCTGGAAAGGTCTGGATGAAGCTGGATGTCACTGTAGGAGGATGGGGGGTTTTGAAGTGCTTTAGTGGAGTGCAGTAGACTTGGTGGCCCCGTAGAGAGTGAGGTTTCTGGAGAGGACTAGGGAGCACTGTGGGATGTTGGGGGGGCGCTGTCAGACACTGTTGGAGACACTGTGGACGGCTGGAGGCTGTGTTTTAGGCTGTAGGAGGTTGGGGGGCACTGTGGAGACTGAGGTGTCTCATGGGGTCTTGGGTCACTGTGGGCCACTATGGGAGATTTTGGGGGGGGGCACTATGGGAGTTGGGAGGCTAAGGGGTCTATAGCGTGCTGGAGGTCTGGCAGAAGGGAGGCTGTGGCCTTGCAATGGGCCATGGCCTGGTTCTTGAGAACCACTGATATACTGTAGACAGTCCACATCTCCAGCCCAGGTTATTGGTAAATTGATATATGGAATGAAGATGTTCAGGTGGACCATCTACCTATCTTGTAAATCTAAAATTGTGTCACCATAACTGTGATCATCACCAAAGCTGATTACATGTCTTCTGTGTTTTGCCCTGCTAGAGGTGGAGCAGATTGAAGCCATCGCTAAGTTCGACTACTCGGGACGCACACCTCGAGAATTGTCCTTTAAAAAAGGGGCGTCCCTGCTCCTCTACCACCGAGCATCGGAGGACTGGTGGGAAGGCCGGCACAATGGGGTGGACGGTCTGATACCCCACCAGTATATCGTGGTCCAGGATCTGTAAGTAACCAAGAACCATCTGCTAGCACATGATCACATGAGTAATGTATTGACCCCTGCCTGTAATCACCTGACCTCCCCAGTCTCATCACGTGACCAGTCCCTAGTCCCTTCTTCTTTACAAGGTCTTTGTCTAGGCCGGGCGTCGGCAACCCGCGGCTCCGGAGCCGCATGCGGCTCTTTTTCACCTTTCCTGCGGCTCCGGAGCACACTGCCCACCAGGTGACAGGCAATAGGGTCGGCAAGCCGCGGCTCTTTTAATGCAGATCTTCTGTGTGCCGGGCGCCCGCTGGCAAACATTGGCTGTCAGGATGTAGGCGGGGCAGCCCGGATGTAGGCGGGGCAGCGTGACGAACTCCTCTCCTCTCACAGTCCGCCCTGAAGACCAGAACGGCGCGGGAACCCAGCGAGAGGAACGCGCGGAGCAAAGGTAAGTGAATTCACACAATATGGGGAATGAATTACTATGGGGGATGAATTACTATAGGGGGGATGAATTACTATATGGGGGATGAATTACTATATGGGGGGATGAATTACTATGGGGGATGAATTACTATATGGGGGGATGAATTACTATAGGGGGGATGAATTACTATATGGGGGATGAATTACTATATGGGGGATGAATTACTATAGGGGGGATGAATTACTATAGGGGGGATGAATTACTATATGGGGGATGAATTACTATGGGGGATGAATTACTACGGGGGATGAATTACTATATGGGGGATGAATTACTATATGGGGGATGAATTACTATAGGGGGGATGAATTACTATGGGGGATGAATTACTATAGGGGGGATGAATTACTATATGGGGGATGAATTACTATATGGGGGATGAATTACTATGGGGGATGAATTACTATATGGGGGATGAATTACTATATGGGGGATGTATTTTCAGTTTTAAAAATGTTTCTCTCAAAATAAATTTCAATCGTGGTTTTGGCGAGATTTGGCTCAGTCGAAAAAAAAGGTTGCCCACCACTGACCTAAGGCTATGACTGTGATTATGACGATACACTGTGGCCCTGATTAACCCTTTGCTTACTGGGCCCTTAAACCCCCTTCATGACCAGAGCGTTTTTTGCAATATATGCAGTGTCGGATTTGTTTTAAATGTTGCAATGGTTTTGCGGCTCCCAGTCTTTTTTTCCCTCTCGGAAACGGGTCCAAGTGGCTCTTTATGTCTTAAAGGTTGCAGACCCCTGGTCTAGGCAGATAGGAAAGTCTATGAGATCACCCATACAGAGCATGCTCACTGTAATTCTGAGAATTTGGTTTGAAATTGCAGAAATTTCCCATGATGCACCCAATAACCTCTTTCTATACCTTTTCTCTCCATCCAGCGATGACGCCTTCTCAGACAACCTGAGCCAAAAAGCGGACAGCGAGGCAAGCAGCGGGCCACTCCTGGATGATAAATCCTCATCCAAGAATGACATCCAGTCACCCACCGAGCACCTACCAGAGTACAACTTTGCTGGGGTCTTGGGCAGGTAGGAAGCCAACAACAGATGTGTGTGCACCCAGGGGCCCAAAAGGAAGAGGAACCCATCAGGGGAGTACAACGGAAACCTCTTAGAGTCAGATGGGTGTAATGAAGTAGAAGGTCCCCTAGAAAGGTCCAATAGAAAATAAGGGGTCATACCCCCAATGGGAACACAGACCACAATTAAAATCCTCACAGTGGCTCCGTCCCTTCCCCATTTCCGGTTTTGGTTGGAGTTGGGCTTTAAGTAACACTTGTGGGTTTGTTAACCAGTCGCCCTCCAGAGGATTTACCCCCCTTCCTGACCAGGCCATTTTTTGCGCTACAGCGCTAGGTTACATTAACTGACAATTGCGCGGTCATGCAACACTGCACCCAGATGAAATTTATGTCTTTTTTCCCACAAATAGAGCTTTATTTTGGTGGTATTTGATCGCCTTTGCGTTTTTTTTTTTTTTATTTTTTGCATTATAAACAAAAAAAAAAAACTTTATTTTTTACTTTTCGCTATTAAACATGTCCAGTAAAAAAAATTTAAAACTCAAATGTCATCATAAATTTAGGCCAAAATGTATTCTGCTCTGTGTCTTTGCTCAAAAAAAATCCCAATACGCGTAAATTAATTGGTTTACGTGAAAGTTATAGCGTTTACAAATGGCGGTATATACACTGGAATTTTTGTTTTACCTTTTTTCTTTACTAGTAATGGTGGCGATCAGCTGCGGCCGGCATTCTGACACTGCGGGGAATTGACTTGGTGTCACTGACTTCCCCTGTGACACCAATACAGTGATCAATGCTAATAAAAAGCACTGACACTGTACTAATGGCACTGGGCAGGAAGGGGTTAACATGAGGGGCGATCAAAGGGTTAACTGTGTGCTGTTTTACTATGTGGCTGTGTGTGTGTTTCACTGTAAGCACACTGCTTTGTATGGCTCTGCTATGCAGAACCATACAAAGCAGTGTGCAGGAGCTGACAGGGGAGAGATCTGTATTTTTTACATAACGGTCTCTACCCCGTCGGAAATCCTCGGAGATCACCGGGTGCCAGCGTGGAATCACTGGCTGGGACCCGGTGATTGGCAGCCGAGGCCGCGAATGGTGGTGCAGGTAGGGCGTGCGCACCCCATACCCGGAGTTGCAAAATCACGTATATATATGTGATTTTGTGCACCTGTGCCGCACTTTGGCTATAGAGCGGCACAGAAGCGATTAAGCAAATTTTTTGTAAATCTGGAGGTCTTGCCAGTAACATCACTTCCTGTAACAGTGTGACAACGCTAAGCCACTGCCTCACAATTATCAGTAGCGTTGTCAGACTTCCATGGGAGCTCCTTCAGTTGGCCATTGGGCTGTCTAATTAATTACTATTATTATACAGGATGTATGGCGGCAACAGTTTGCTCAGCGCATTACAATATAACGGGAGACAATACAGCAACAATACAGGTCAATAAAAGGGGGTTAGGAGGGCCCTGATCCTGGGAGCTTAATAGACCAGATAGGCAACCCAACAGGCAACTGAAGGAGCTCACGGCAGGCTGACTACTATTAGGCTTTGAGTTGTCAGCCTACAACAGTAAGTGCTGTTACTGGCAGGATTTCCAAGTGAAAAAAAAACGTTTCAGTAGAGTCAAAAAAAAAATATGTGCGTAACAAAGCTGTATACACTGAGACATGATGCGAAACATACCGAAACATAGGTTTTGGGTTCACGCGCTTTTATTTTTTTTCTCTTGATTTCAGGGTTAGACTCCGTTCCGATGGAGCTGCCATACCACGCCGGAGAAGTGGAGGTGAAAACCATAGCCCACCCCGGCCTCTTGGCCCATGCATTGACACCCCTCCCCGCGCGGCTGCCTGTCCCAGCAGTCCCCACAAGTTGTCCCTGAGCCGCGGACGTGTGGACAGCCCTGAAAAGCGCAGGATGGCGACATTTGGAAGTGCTGGGAGTATCAATTATCCCGAACGGAAGGGACTGGCTGATGGGATATGCCTGCGTTCTGTGACTGGAGGCACGAGGCACAGCAGCCTTGGAGACCACAAATCCCTGGAGGCAGAGGCTCTGGCTGAGGTAACATCGAGGGATATAGGCAAAATTGTTTTTTTTTTTTGTATTATAACTATAAAAACAGTTCAGTAAGTTTTCTGTTTCGGTGTCCTAAGAAGTTGCAACTATATATGATTTTATTTTCCTGCTCCTATAGTTGGTACCTTTAAGGGCCTGTTCACCTTTCTGCCTCTTTAAAACAAGTGTGGTTCCATGTGGGGCAGCACAGCGGCTAAATGGTTAGCACTTCCGCCTGGCAGTACTAGGGGTCGTTGGTTAGAATCCCAACCACGGCACCACCTGCCTGGAGTTTGCATGTTCTCCCCGTGCCTGTGTGGGTTTCCTCCGGTTACTCCAGTTTCCTCCCACTCTCCAAAGACATGCTGGTAGGTGAATTTGCTCCTGTCTAAATTGGCCCTAGTATGTGTATGTATGAATGTGAGTTAGGGACCTTAGACTGTATGCCCCTTGAGGGTCAGGGACTGATGGGAATGTACAATATATATGTAAAGTGCTGCGTAAATTGATGGCGCTGTATAAGTACCTAAAATAAACAAATGTGTGTTTTAACTGTTTTTTCAAATGTCCCCAAAAGACAAGAAAATATTATTGCTGTGTCCCCATTGGGGCCATGTGCCCTCACATCCTGTCCTGCTAATAGCTATCACACACTGTCACCAGCACAGGAGATGATGGAAAAGCTCCCAAGGAGGGTAAAACATGAAACATTAGCAAAGGTTCTACCTCTTAACATTTCACCCAAAAAAGGTTTCTCTTTCTCATTCAAGGAGGAACACAGGAATTCAGATACAGTTGGGTTATACTGCCACCTACAGTAGGATCTGAACACCAGCAACAAACAATTCATGGGCTGGCCCAAAATTGCCCTTCCTATACCCAACATGCCTAGATTTTTTGCTAGTGTCCTAGGATGATTTATGTGTTTTCTTCAGGACTGCTGTGAAAAGTCTAATTTTGCTATCATTTTTTATTCAGTTTTGTTTTTACATTTTTGTTTTTATTGACCACATCTAATTGTGGGTCTGTTCCCTACACAGGAAATTGTTCTTTTTCCACCTGTTTTTTTTTAAAGGGTCTGGTAATCAGTTTCTTGCTATTTCAGGTTGGTGCTCCCTTTCATATGGAATCATCCCTGCTTGGTGGTGATCTTTTCTATCCTGGTCACAGGATCGGGTTGATTCTTTATGTCCACCCTCTTGGAAAGGTTCTAATATCTAGTAAGGAACCACTTGGTGGTGACTTCGTCTATCTTGGTCAGGGCACTAAGTAGATTCTACATGTTCTCCTTCTGGTCATGTTGATAGGTTCTCTTACCTAGTAGGTGACCACTTGGTGGTAACCTTTTCTATCTTGTTTAGAGCATCAGATTGGTTCTCCGTGCCCTCCCTCTGGTCATGTTGATAGGTTCTCCTATCTAGTAGGAGACTGCTTGGTAGTGAACTTTTCTATCTTTCTTAATCTTTCTTAGAGCCTCTGATTGGCTCTGTGCCCTCCTTCTGGTCATGTTGATAGGTTATCCTATCTAGTAGGGGACTGCTTGGGGTTGACCTTGTCTAGCCTGGTCAGAGCATCAGGTTGATTCTCTGTGTCCTCCTCTGGTCATGTAGATAGGCTCTCCTATCTAGTGAGGGACCACTTGGTGGTGACCATTTCTTTCCTGGTCTGATTATCAAGTTGATTCTCCATGTCCTCTCTCTGGTCATGTTGACTGGTTTTCCTTTCTAGTAGGTGATTACTTGGTGGTGACCTTGTCTATCCTGGCTATTGCAACAGGTGTCCTTCTTCTGGTTGTGTTAACAGACCCTCCTTTCAGTTATCCTGTGCTAGCCTATGGACCTTTTTCTTTTTGTTGCCAATGTCCAAGTCATCCTGTAAGCAGCAGTTTAACCCAAAAGTAGCTGAAATCCTTTGTCCTTCAGTGGACTAAAAAAAAGGATTTTTCTTTGTTGTTTTTTTTTTTTTCGCATCCAAACTGGGGATATTTATTCCCATGTTCTGTCCTAGTGTCCAGGGTCTGAAGTGGTGTCAACAGGACCTCCCAGATAACAATATCATTCTGCAACAGATTCTAACCCTTCTGTACTCTAAAAATAGGTTTTTGGTGGAGTTGGTAGGTTGCTTTACATACTCAAATATTGTCAAGTTTATGTAGGATATTGCAAATTATGCATCAACAAAAATCCTACCATAAATCTCACCATAACCCCCCCCCCCCCCCAATTATTATTTTGTGACTTTTGTCTCCTTTGTAGGACATTGAGAAGACAATGAGCACAGCCCTGAATGAACTACGTGAACTGGAACGTCAGAATACGGCTAAACAAGCACCAGATGTTGTCCTGGACACTCTAGAACCCATGAAGAATCCTACACTTGGAACCCCAAATTCTGAGCCAGTCAGTCCCCTGCACACCATCATGATACGGGATCCCGATGCTGCAATGCGGAGGAGCAACTCTTCCAATACCGAAATGATGACCACTTTCAAGCCAGCGTTGTCTGCTCGCCTGGCTGGATCCCAGCTCAGGCCTCCACCGGTAAGGCCAGCCCGGCCGATGGTCCAGCACCGATCTAGTAGCAGTAGTAGTTCTGGGATGGGAAGTCCAGCCCTTACCCTACGGAAAAAATATTTCCCAGCAATTCTTCGGAAAAGTCGGGGACCATGTGATCATCTCTACTGGGCCTTATTGGGAATCCATTATGGCAAAGTCCAGTATGTGTGTCAAGGGAGGACACTCTCTGGAATTTATACCCATCAAACTCCTCCACTTATCCTGGAGGATTCTCTTGATCACCTCTCATAGGCTGATGTCCCTTGTAAAAGATTGCCATTGTCATACATCTAAAAGAGGATCTCATTCCACTGTGTCTGCATTGTATACATGCCGTTCATCTCAACCCTTCTGTATGATAAAATTCTCATATACATGTGTCCTTCAGATTGCCTTAAAACTGCACTCCCGGTTGGGTATGTCCAGTCTTGTTTCTGTTTTTGGCCTCCATGTCTCTTGGTTCCATCTCGGGCTTTCCTAAATCAAACAAGTGTCAAAGGTGGAATTCCAATTTACAGTTCTGGGCTGTACCTGAGGATGTTTTTTTTGGCTCCATTTGCTGGAAGCTTTCATCTAGCGGACTCAAGATGTAGATCTTTTTGAAGGAATCGGGCCAAAGATCTCACTTTCATCCCAATATGTTCAGTAGTCACCAACTTGTTCTCTGATGGAGCTCAAATATGGCTTCCTAACGGGATGTGGATATTTCCTGTGGTTTACGATTATGCTGTAGTCTAGAGCTTTTCCCCTAAGAGGGGTTCAGCTGCTCCATTTACTATGAGCAATATGTAACTTTGTACATAATTACTCTGAAATGTTAGTCATGTCATTAACCTTGTTTAGGCCCGAGGCCTAGCCGTTATAAATATATCTATACATACCTATATATAGTAGTGAAATTTATGTAGGATAATGTGAATTATGCTTGAACTTAAACCATGAAAAGGCTGTTTTTTGTTTTGTTTTTATTTTGCTGTCACTGGAAAAAGGTGTATACAGTGTGTATATATATAGTATGAATATACAGTACAAAAAGCCGTTAGATCTTACCTCAGTGGCTTTTGTCCTCACGTTTACCCATAATGCTCTCTGGGATTTTAGTTACGCCAATAAAATGTTTGTGTGTAGTGCGTGCAAGGATTATAACTTGCAGGGTGTTCCTCAGAATATTCCACTTTAGCAGGACCAGGACGATGGTACAGAGCAGTGCATGATGGGAGTTAAAATTCAAAATCTGTTGGAGAACCGCAGGTAGACAATATTCATGGGACTTATTTGGTTTGAAGAATTGAAACTCTGAGCCAATTTACTAACTGGAAATTCTGTTTCTGTGCGGGGATAAAGATGGATGATGTTGAGTACATTTGTGAAGAGACTGCAGTTCTGGAACAAGTTCTAAGAGGATACTTTTAACTTTTGGCTTTTTAAGCATTTGTGTTGGGATGGGTCATAACATTTCAAAAGCCTTGTCCATTTAGCACCAAAAAATACCCCATTTGATGGCCCTGACCAGATGGTGCCTGATAAAAGCCAGACTGTGATTGGCTGCTTTGGACTAGAGCACATATTATTTATTCCAAACAATGCAGCATGTATGGAGGCAGGAAAGGGCCAGCACCACACACCAATCCAACCTGTTTTATATACATTAAATGTTTGAACAAAATCTTTGCCATATTGATGTTATTCAACTCTCTCTGAGCTAAGTGGACTACCTGGATGCTGAGATAATAACAACTTAAAGGAAAACTCCATCTTTATGTATTCCTTATTCTCATTCCTTGATATCCAAAGTCCCTTACTTTAGATTCAGACAATCTGTAAAGCTAAACATTTTTGTCTTTTTGGATGATCACAGCTCCATGGAGCCTCTGTCTTCTTAGAAACCAAACTGGAACCAAGTGGCCGGGGCTTTAAAAGACCCTTAAAGGATTGTGTGCACATGTTCAATGCAGCTAGATAAAGGCTCTATGATACCAGAAGGATACCTCCTTATTAGGAGTTCATGGAAGACAACAGAACAGTGTAGGGAACTCTGCTTGAAATGGGTCCCTGTCATTTCCACCATGGTGGTTGGCAGCAGTTTTTCTTGTAAGTCTTCGATTTGTTGTCCGTGAGCCTCCATGAGGTAAAAAAATGCTCAGCTCGGCCAACTCTCTACTTTTCTGATTACACTCGCCAATGGGATATCACACTCTACACCTTCTATAAGGTAGTACATATTCTGCTCTTGATTTTCTCTCTACTGTTCCGATTACAGTCTTCACCAGGTTATAACATCCTTAAACTTGAGCCACCATACTGTGAAAAGTACTGTCTCAGACCTTCACTCCTACATTCCCGATTAGACTTTCCACTGGGAAATCACATCCTCCAACATGACCCTCCATAATGTTGAAAATACTGTTCTCCTGACCGTCTCTAAATCTTTCTTCGTTTACTTTCCAGCAGGGTGTTACATTTTTCAACATTACCCTCCATCATAACCCTACATAATGTAGAACATACGTTGCTCCTGACCTTCTCATAACCTTTCTGATTACACTTACCTCCGGGATATAAGACCCTTCACCATGACCCTCCATAGTCAGTTCCTGACCTTTGCTGTACCTTTCTGATTACCCTTACCACCAGGATATAAGACCATTCAACATGACCCTCCATAAGGTAGAAAATAGTCCTTTCCTGACCTTCTCTGTACCTTTCGGATCACACTTACCACCAGGCTATAAGACCCTTCAACGTGATCCTCCAGAAGATTGAAAATACTTTTCTCCTGATCTTCTCTAAATCTTTCTTTGTACACTTACCACTGGAGTAACACCCTTCAACATCTCCCTCCATAAGGTTGAAAATACTATTCTCCTGACCTTCTCTAAATCTGTCCATGTATGCTCCCCAGCAGTGTGTTACATCCTCCAACATCACCCTTCATCTTACCCTACAAAAGGTAGGAAATACACTGCTCCTGACCTTCTTATAACCTTTCTGATTACATTTACCTCCACCAGGAGAAAAGACCCTTCAACTTCAACATGACCCTCAAATGGGTAGAAAATAGTTTGATCCTGACCTTCTCTGTACCTTTCTGATTACACTTACCACCAAGATATAAGACCCTTCAACATGACCATCCATAAGGTAGAAAATAGCCCATTTCTGACCCTCTCTGTACCTTTCTGATTATACTTACCACCATAAGGCCCTTCAACATGACCCTCAGTAAAGTTGAAAATACTCTTCTCTTGACCTTCTCTAAATCTTTCTTTGTACACTTACAACTGGAGTAACACCCTGACCTTCTTTACATTTCCTTAGAATACTCCCCAGCAGTATATTACATTCTCCAACATCACCCTCCATCATAACCCTACATGAGGTAGGAAATATGCTGCTCCTGACCTTCTCATAACTTTTCTGATTACACTTACCTCCACCAAGAGACAAAACCATTCAACTTCAACATGATCCTCCATAGCATAGAAAATAGTCCGTTCCTGACTTTCTCTGTACCTTTTATAATTACCCCTACCACCAGGATATAAGACCCTTCAACATGACCCTCCATAAGGTAGAAAATAGCCTTTTTCTGACCTTCTCTGTACCTTTCTGATTATACTTACCACCAGGATATAACACCCTTCAACATGACTCTCCATAAAATAGATAATAGTCTGTTCCTACACTTCTCAGTAACTTTCTGATTACGCTTACCTCCGGGATACAACATGATCCTCCATAAGGTAGAAGATACTCTGTTCCTGAACTTATACCATTCTAAATATGCTTTCTAATTAAAATCACCAGAACTGGGTCAGTGAACTCTTGGGATGGATTTGATGTAATGTCAGATGATTTTATTTAGAAGGTTCTGGGATGTTCAGAGTAAAATCTTGGAGAGACTTTAGCATTAGTCTAATTTTTAGTTATTTTGTGTAATAGACATTACCCTATGTGACTTTTTTGGCAGAGCATGCAGAGATTTGTAGTGCCAATGGCTGTCTAAATAACAGGTATGGCCTAAGGCAATTATGAATGCAAGGTCTAAATATGATATTTATTGCGCTGTATATTATCAGTTTTTGGTGTCACTAGCATATAAGGTTGACCTCTGACGCTTTTAAATAATAATTGCCATATTTTAGTATCAACAAATAATGCAGCCTGATTATGCATGGGAAACTTAGGGCCAGCCTCTGGTGTCTAAAATATATACTGCCAGCCTGTTGTCTTTAAGCCTCCAATTTCAGGGGCTAGATAAATATGAAGCTTGCACCCTCTTTTATACCTCTGGTCAGTGACTACAGAAAATGTGCTTACTGAGACCTTTCAAGATTGGGGCCCTAGGGCAGCTGCCTTTCCCTGGACATAGCCCATGCGCTTTTCCAACAACTTGGTGCCTTGTCGTTGAAGGTACACCGGTGCTTTGGCTAACTGCAGAAGCTAAAATTAAGCACATTAGTCTGGTTCCAGCGGTTGCAGATTTAGGTACGCTTAAGTAAAGTTGTTGGACAATAACCAACCTAAAGCACAAACTTCTGGATATTTTAAGTCTTCGCCTGGAGATCATTGCACTAGAGATATCTAAACAGTTTACAGATATTCCGAACACATGGGCTGTGAATATTGCATGTCACTCCTGTGCAGTAGGTAAGGGCTTCAAAGACACCAATTAGCACAACAGCTGACTTCTGTGCACCAGAGGACCCTTGAGATCTAAAGGCCCAAGATCCGCAACCTCTAGATAACAGTATATGCGCTTAAAGGCTGCACGTACCATTATTTTGCTACTAAAAATCCACAATGTATACAGCCATTAATATAATACAGAAACTGAAACTTTAGGGGTGCTAATAGCTCTATTTGCCAGCAAACAAGCTTGCCATCCCAATTTTATTTAACTTTGCCAAATTTTCCAGATGTTTTTTAAAGTGTTTCCCTGGACATGATCATTGATATTGTCTAGTTGCAAACAAAAATTTCTGCGTATGCATCATCTGAGTAATGCTATTTGAATACTTTACCATGGTATGTGAAAAGAGCACTGCATGGGAAGGTTGGCATTGGCATGACCATCAAAGAACAGGCCACCATTTGGAAAACAAGAGATTTTAAGTTGCTTCAGTTATATATTGGCCGATACCCAGATAAGAAATTAGTTGATACGTAACGGACAGCCTCAGTCAACCTCTTAGGGTTTGTTTATAAATTTGCAACCCTGCCAAGAAACATGCTGATGGTTGACTGTTTTA